ACCCCTGACTACAAAGACCGATTAAGCCCCTCTCTGGAAAAACAAAACATACCTATCCTCTGAGACCCAGATGCCGTGCTCAGGCTCATTATAAATAAGCTGAGTCGGCCGTTTCTGATTCGCTGGGGTTAGAGGTCAATCCAAGGGGGAGGAGCTAAGAGAGAGTATTCACATAAAGGAAGCAAGAACGGCAGCTACATTTGGCAGGTGGAGCACATCACCTCCAACCGTTCCACGTCAGCCACCCCCACACATTCCATCACTGTAGTACTGATGCCCCTCTCACTCGGTGTCACATGAGGGCATTATGTCATGCCAATAAAGCGCATAACTACAGTACAGCCAGTAGGGGGCAGAGTCTTTAAGGGCTGGGCAGTGAAATAACCCAAAGGCTGCAGATTAAAACTGCCAGGGGGCTCTGCTATTGTACCCATCAGGTCTTACCATCAGTACCGAGACGTAGAAACGGCACAAACGAAGCACGATGTGCAGCTGCTCTGAATAAAGGCTACAACAAAGGAGCACAGGACCCGGGGCCGTGATCTGACAGGTGAGCCAGCCGGCCGGACGGTGCGGTTACAGCCAGTCAGAAGCAGGGGGTGGCTGTCATGAAGTCTGAGTGATCACAGACACGAGGCGATTGGCAGATCAAACCCAATTACGGCAAATGGGCAACAGAGAGCACAGAATCGAATCAGAAGAGCGAAAGCGCAGGGAGGTGATGGGGCCGGCTGCTGTGCACGCGCCACTCTTTCATCACGCCGCCTTTTCATGTTCTTAATCAGCTCAGATGCCGGCCCCGATTCACTCTCCCTCCCGTGCAATCGCACGGCATACAGGAGCGTCTGCACTACAGAGGTCACCCAATGCTATTTGAGTCAAACTCGCCCCCGGTGCGTTGCAGGGGACGAAACCAGCCATGGTTTCCTGACTACGCACTGGGTGAGGGGGTGGGGGCTGCGGTCAGGCCGGACTGAGTCACCTGCCAGCCCCAATTTCATATCGGGGAGGGGACATCCATCACTGACTCTGGCCCAGCCTGACCCACCAGCCCACTCTCTCGTTAAATTGCACTTTAATTAAATTAAGCCAGCTAATTATGAGGCTTTAAATCAATCATTCAGTCGATAGCCAAACTTAAAGCCAACCCTACTCAAAACTTCCATCCTGATTAATAATGACAGACTTTGGCAGGGGTTGGGCTAAACCTCAGGGCTACCGATAACTGGGAGATAAGTCACCACAAAGGGCTTGGGTCCGGCGCTTTTACACGATCCCGGGACCAGAAAGGGGGTGAATGAGCAAACCCACAAGGCTTCTGGAGGCTAATCCTCTCTTTCATCCTCATAACGCGACAGCATAGCATCAGCACTGCGCAGCATTTCACAAACTCGTGCAACGCACCATCACTCAGCGACTGACCAAAGCCGCTCGGACTCAAGGTGCCTTTTCCAAATCCACGCTATAAACCTCCGAGCATTCTGGGGGATTTCAGGGTTCGGGAGAAACAAGTTAAAATGCTCCCATGAAAGCAGCATGGAGATGGTCACGTGACCCTCCCCCAGTTCCCCGAGCTTACGGTCTGCTAGCTCCCCACCGGGGCCACCATCAGGTGTTTAAGGACACGGCGTGAGCAGCTCTGGGTGTCTGACATGCCACTGAACATATCCACAGAAGCAGCAGAACGTCTAAATTAACACCGACCGCTGGTCTGCGGGTCAGTGAACCGCGGCACAGGGGCTAGACGCCCTTATAACAAAGACAGGGAGTGTCACGGCACACGAACACAATCCTGACACTGTGCAGAACTGTAACGACTTCAGGTAAACGTGGTAACTGGAAGTGGCCAGGAAATAAATGCTGTAATACTCACAAACGGAATCTTGTTCAGTGCAATCGGCTCAATGTGATAAATTATGAACGAATCGCACGGCAGGCATTTCCGTGCTCTCAGCGAAGCTGGAATTAATTTGTCACTCGGATCATGGAAATTCCAGAATTCAACCTGATTGTAGTATTATGCAATACTCCCATTACACGGCTGAAAAACATAATAGCGTATCAATCACCATCTGTGTCCATCTTCCTGCGCATGAAGCGAGGTTGGCACGCTTGATGGTCACAGGATATGGACCTCGAACCCTGTGCCGGGTGACCTCTACAAACACGCCAAGCAACAAGAGAGAGGCTGCAGGCGTGTTCATCACGTCGCACGGGAAGCCGGTGAATTTCAAAGTCTTCAGTGATATGGAGAATCCTTTTAGCATGACTGACACATCTCAGCAGCTGAAAGGCAGTTTTACCGCTGGCAGAAAGGTTAAAGCGCTCCTGAGAGATGTAACCTTTAGAGGGGAAAATAAACACGTCTCCCCCCATCACTCCAGCCGCCCCCCCCCCCGACCCCGACTTCCAGACAGTGAGTAAATAGCATGTGCTGCATGACCTGCTTCATTTTCAAACCCAAGGCAGGATTCTCTGCCTGGATCCCGGTCTGTTTTCTACGCACGTTAACTGCCTGGGGGGTGTCCGTCATGCTGCCCAGATGGGAAATTCCTAAACTGATCCATCCACATTTACAGTAGAAGACATATCACACACTAATTAAATTGCTTATTAACTAATTAAACTAAGAGAACAGAGTCTCCTAAGAGCAAATGTAATGATTTTACTTCTGTTTGACTTCTTGCTGAGACCTGGAATGGGAATGCAGATTACAGACGTTCATGACTAACTTAAAGGAAATGCAGCCATCACATTTGGATGGATGAGCGAGTACAGAATCCAGGCAAAACCCTGTAGGAGGAGCCCAGGAAGGGGAGCGCAGGACGGGGAGCGCAGGACGGGGAGCAAATATAACATAAACAAACAATGTTTTCATCAAAAAAAGAAAACAACAACAAATTTCCCATCATTTCCATGCCATTCACTGAATAAAATTCTGAAGCATTTAATATTTATGTAAACAGTTAGCAGAGAGTAGATATGACACTGTAATGGCTGCAAATACAAACCAAAACACATCTATTAGCTGCGACCAGCGATCAGGCGTATGGCAGCCAGCGGACAGCCTACTGGGGGGGGGGGGGGGCCCCCCCCCCCCACACACACACACACACACACAGACACACAGACACACAGACAGACAGACAGACAGACAGACACACACACACACACACACACACACACAGACAGACAGACAGACAGACAGACACACACACACACACAGACAGACAGACAGACAGACACACACACACACAGACAGACAGACACAGACACACACACACACAGACAGACAGACAGACGCACACACAGACACACACGCACACAGAGACAGAGACAGACACACACACAGACATAGACAGACACGTGTGTGCCCGCATGTAACACGTTAACGAACACGCATCAGCGATTCTCCTCCTGATCCCAAAGGGGGGGCTCATTTAGTGCTCAGTTATAAATGCCGTTTATTTCCACAACTGGACAAAGAAGCCAACCACCCCCCCCACCCCAATCTGGGACCCACCTGCTCTCAGGTCTTTGTGATGCTCCATCAACCCTGTGGAGGGGGGGTGGGGGGGGGACTCCCACCTTTCAAATAAACCCCCCCACCCAGTACAGAAGATCCATAATTATGAGGATGAACAGGTGCATTTCTGCCCCCACCCCCAAAATGACCCTGAAAGACTGTTTTCCATTCATGCCCCAGATATTTTTGTACATGCCCCCCCCTTTAGGAATTGCCTAATGGCGGCTAGACACGGCCGATGAGAGTCTTGTGTGGTACTTCAGTGAGAGGTTAATGGACCGGAACCGTCTCGGCCTGCTGGATGGGCCCCCAGCTCTCCCTGAACAAAGCCACTCATTTGACAGGTGTGCCAGAATACGTGGGGGGGTGGGGAGGAGGAGGAGCATACACGAGCCAGGGCAGACGACCCCCCTCTTCCACCTACAGAGACCACAGCGCCCCCCCAACCCCCTTTGCATTGAAGGTCAATAAAAACAGTGCCTCAGATTTTCACCTGGGTGGGGGTTGGTTGAAGTGGTTAATCTCTTGGGGGGGGCGGGGGGCGGTATACAACAGGTACTCTGCCCAGAGACACATGAAACACCGCAGGGTTTCATCTGTTCGGGAAAATCACAACCGTATCCAGGAAAAGGAGGCTGGATGCCATTCAAAACGGCAGCAAAGTGACCTGTAACCACAGCGTGAGGAAATAAACCCACAAATAATGCACCGTCATTAATAAAGTACCTCTCAAGATCTGCCTTCACTTACAGCCACAGACACCACGGGAAAGGGGCAGCCAGACCGAGCCCGAAATCTGAGCCAGCAGCACCCCCAACTGGTCAGGTTAGGAGAGAGCAGTGCGGAGGGGCTCGGCATTGGTCAAGATTAACATGGGGGGGCTTGTAGGACAGTACATGTGGGCTGGTAGGCTCCACCCCGATCCCACCCCCCGGGGTTAACACACATCCCTTCTCTCCCAGATCATTACGAAGAGCGAATGGTGCTGATCTGTAGATCAATCAGCACTGAAGCTATAGCCCCCGGCCCGACTGAGTGACGCCTCCATAAAGAAGATGGAACAAAATCATCACCAAAAAACAGCATGCGAGCACATGCCAGGGCGCCCCCTGGTGGAATCGGCGGCTTCTTCGTGCTGTCAGGATGGGTGTGCTAAGCCCACATGTGGGGCACTCACTGACCACTGACCACTCACGGAGCTGGCCAATCCCATGCTGCCGTTTAGGGAGTCCCAGGGGACCCCCCCCCCCCCCCCCCGCACTGATCCATAGGGGGCGGCAAGGACCATATTAACGTCTCATATTAACAACTTAACGCTGAAGGTAACTAAAGCTGTATTTTAACCGGGCGCTTTAAGCCACTAACCCTGCAAGAGCCAGGAACTCTGAAGCACCCGGTTACTGGGCACAGCTAACCCATTCCAGCCCATGCTTTTCATTTTGTGTGGAGAACTGAACCATGGGCAGAATCCCATTTACAACAGAATATTCTGGACAGGTCACAGGTCTCTGTCGACACAGTTATGCTGGACCTGCCATCCCATGCTATTGTTTGTCACCATGACCATGGAGTAACTGGTTAGCGACCAGCAACCAAAAACTGCAATTGTATCCAGAACCAAACACTCTCCAACCGCAGTGACAATGAGTTGCACCACTCAGTCATCCAGCCTTAACTTCACCATCTCACAGTCTCACACTAAACTGAGGCAACACAACGCACCCCCCCACACACCCAGCTGGTACCAGTTATGAACAGGAAGGGTATGATGACAGTTAAACAAACCCGAAACAAACACGGGCCACCTAACCCTAACCACACTCACAATATGAGTGGAGCGTATCTAACATGGGTATTATAAACCGTCAAAATAATGAAACACAGCTAAGTATTAGAGAAAAGCCTCTCTTCGGCAAACAGGCAGATTCAGGAGCTGCACAGGAGTCGACGGTGTGACGATTAAAAAGCCAACATCGCATCAGAAGGCAGCTTCCAATAACAAAGACAAAAGACCCAATTTACCAGCAACAGCAGAAAGACGCACGTTGATCGTATAGCCATTTAATAGCTAGTGCTTATAAGAACAAAAGCAGCCAAATAAGTAGGCCTCAGTAATTTGGAAATGTGCCTCACTGCATACGAAAAGGATTAAGATATTAATAAAAAAAAACCTTGATTCAATTTGAACAGGTGAGTCGGAAAGGTTGCGGCTTTTGAAAACACCGAGGTGGTAACTGGAGAAATTGAACGGGTCTCTCTCTCTCTCTCTCTCTCTCTCGGCAGCGTAATCAAAACGCTTTTGATGGAACAATAAAAGGTCGCCAGCGCTTGTCTGCTTAAGGGAAATAAAATCCCCTTTGTAGTAAAGTGGAGAGATCGCCAGCCTCACTCAGGGAAGCCATGTTGTTTCAAAAGCACCCCCCCACCCCCCTCCCACCCACTGTGGTCAAACAGCTGAAATTAAATTACATTCCCTGAAGTCTCTGGTTATCAATCCTTAACGTTGCACATTCCCATTTTGGAGATATATAGGTCGTAGATTCGATACAATTTAAACAACCAGCGCTGTAACCTGACAGAAAACAGGACCCCAGTGATGGAGACTTGGGGATTCAGGTTATATTAGGAGGAGGACAAATTGGGATTCATGTTCTATCAAGAGGACGACGAGTCAGGATCGAGGTTACATTAAGAGGACAACGAATCGGAACCCAGGTTACATTAAGAGGAGGACGAATGGTAATCCAGGTTACATTAAGAGGACGAATCAGAATCCAAGTTACATTAGGAGGACGACGAACTGGGACCGAGGTTATGTTAATAGGAGGATGAGTCGGGATTCAGGTCATATTATTAGGAGAACTAATCAGTGATAGGCCACACCCCTGCAGGAAGCCACGCCCCCCATCAGCCTGTCTCATTAGCAGTGGCCTAGCAAGTTAATGTAGCTTGAGCACTGCGGGTGCTGCCAGCTTGCTGTCAGTTGGCATCAGCACTTCCTGTGAAGGGGCAGGTCACGCCCTCCACCGGGGGAATTGTGGAGGGGGGGTGCATCAACAGGGGGACATCAAATGAAGATGCATGATTGGAGGGGCCAGAACTCGTGCAATTATAACATGAATAAAATTGTAGAGAACAGTCCTTGAAAGATATCTAATGGAAGGCAATCACTGCCAATCTCTCCTCTCTGCTTTATGTGATCCAGTGACTCTGTGGGGGGGGGGGCTTTACACGGTGCAGAGATGATGGCTCAGAGCAGCAAGAACAAGCGGTTAAAGGCTACTGACATCCTGTAGGTACCTCAGTCACTTTGTCACCATTTAAGAGCCATGCAGGATTCTGAATAAAGGCTTTTATAAATGCAAAAACAACACAGGGACGAGAGGACACTCTGGCAGCGGCGCCTCGCCCCACCATGGCGCCCCTACCTGCTCCTGGCGCTCCAGCCATCGGTCCACCATGGGGTGGTTGGCGCTGAGGGACGACCGTGCGTTCTCCCGCTGGAACTGATTGGCCCAGCCCCCGCCGTCACGAGGGAGACTCCGGTACGTGTCCTGACCTTTACCCTGGAGACACAGGAGACAAGCGGATGGATACAGAGGCTCGGATGGCGGCTGTTATTAGGAGAGCTTCCTGGCCAGTCCCAGACACCGCGGCCCCTCAATAGTGGCCCCTGGATGCTGAAAGGCACTCCATTTCATCTGAGGGCCTGTTAAGGGCCCGCTGTGGATCACCGGACACAGCAGCCCCATCGCAGTGCTGATCATCCCAGACGGAGTTTCGGGAATGCCAGTGCAGGATTACTCTGCGGTCATGCTATCGTGTTACTCCAAAGTGCTGGACGTGTTTTTGGGAAGCAGATATTAGGAGACCCCCCCCCCCCATCCCCACCCTGGCAGGCTCTAATTCATTCCCTATTTATTACGTTTATAGAGCAAATGTCGGGATGACCTGAAAGAGCCGCCCCCCCCCCCCCCCACGGTGAAAACCCCCACTGTATGGAAAGGAGATGGGGGTTAGGGTCACCGATCCAGTCAGAACCTTCAGTGCATTCCCTGCTAAAATATATACACATACCCATGTGATATAGGAATGTGCAGTACTGCCCCCAGCCGGTCATTAGGGGGGGGGGGGAATGGCAAATTGGGAAATGGATCCTGGGGAGCCAGCGATGGCTGACGGACAGCTGAGGGCGGGGCTCCCCCCTCCAGCACCGTAAACAATGAGAAGGGCCATTTTTCCCACTATCATACAGTCAACCCAGGAAACTGGAGCGAAGTCACCCTGCAGACGAAGGTGACGGGATCGGTGTCACCGCGGCACATAAACACATCTGCCACTTGGAGGGGGGGCGGGCGTACAGCCGCACACATGCACGCTAAACACGGTAACTGCGATGGCGTCAAGTTCGCGCCTGGCCTGTGAAGTTTCCCCACAAAGCTCTCATTCTTCACAGCGTGATGATAAGGGTATAAATAGTACCACAAGTCAGCCCCCCACTCCACTTTTTTGAAAGCATTGTGTGAGATTATTGGGCCAGTGACAACGAAAGTGCTTTTAAATAGGATTACGCCAAAATGCTGTGAGATACTGCGGCTAATCGCTAAACCGAGAGTCCTGACAAACCTGGCCATGTTACCCCGAATCAGCAGCCCATCACCAGGACCAGCGGGCAGCCATCTTGGAAAGTTAATCAGTATAATTTTCCATTTTCTGGGGGCCGAGGTTAGGAGACGGGAGCAGAGTGTTCTGATTCATAACAGGCCTGAGGTTGGGGGGGGGGGGTAATTTTGGGTGACCTCACACGTGAATCACCACGAAATAAGGCAATGTCACCAGTGATAAAGGATTTTTGTTTTTTTTTTTTTCCCAAAAGTGAGGCAATTACTGAATTACTTGCAGGGGCGAGCCACAAGCCAACTTCCTGAGCCGTTTGGGTAGTGTTCGTTTGAGCCGTTTGGGTAGTGTTCGTTTGAGCCGTTTGGGTAGTGTTCGTTTGAGCCGTTTGGGTAGTGTTCGTTTGAGCCGTTTGGGTAGTGTTGGGTCGTACCATGAGGGGGTTGGGTAGGGGTGGTAGGGATACCCGGCTCCACTAATCTGTCGTGTCAACGTAATCAGGGTCGAACCTGAACCAGAGCATGAGAGCAGCAGGCCCAGGCGAACATGAATGAAAACACAGGTAACATTTCAATTTCTAATGAGGTAAGGGTCAGATCCCAGTGATTAGTCCAGGACGGGGGGGAGCAGGGGGCATCTACGGTCACATGACCTTTACCGGGTTAGCGCCTTCCGGGGGTGGGGGGTGTAATATTCAGACCAGGGCACTTTTCTGGGTAGGGGGGCGACCCCCCTGGGCCAGAGGCGGCTGGCGTTATGGCAAAACCCAACTGTGGGAGGTAGGCGCCAGGGAGGAACTGGGCAGCATTCATCTGCATCCACACACCACTCTGATTTGCTGGGAAAGATGCCGTCCAGAGGACTGGGGGCTTTACGCTGTCCCATTATAGGTGGACTTCTAATGGCTGCCATGTGACACATCCATAAACTCCAGAACAAACATTGCTGGAAAGAGGCTGGAGCGCAGGCGTGCGTGAGCTGGGGCTGTGTTCAGTAACGTCCCGAAAGCAAAGCGCTGACACAGAGGTGATCAGGCAGGTGAGCTACCCCCCCCCCCCCCCCCCCCCACACACACACACACACACACACACCCCCCCCAGATCGTTGCCATGGCCCGCCCCGGGAAGGGGGGGGTTACCTTGCGCTCCAGGCTGCCAGTCCGTGGTGCCGTGTTCTGCTTCAGAAAGCCGGCCGTGGTGGACCAGCGCGTCGGGTTCTTGCGGGAAGGCTCCTCTGGGGCCTCGATGAGGGAGGGGGACCCCGCTGGCTTGTCAGGGTCACTGCTGCGCCGCACGCGGAGGTGCATGTCTGGGGGGGGGGAGGGTCAGAGAGACAGACATGATACTTAAAAATGTAACATGCAGTTTTTTTTCCCTCAAATAGACATATTTTGCCATGGACGTGTCTGTACGATATTCCCTGGTTAGAATGACACAGGTCAGCAGTCCCCTCTAGCCTCAACAAACCCATTTCAAGTTCTCATTAAGCGTGACACACCAGCGCTCTGTTCCTCTGTTTCTAAGCCTAGCTCTGTCCCTGCCCCCCACCCCAATCAATGGTAGTTGGAGCCCCCCCGTATGGTCACATGCCAATGGATGTTCGGAGCAGGTCTGGGTGGCTCATCCAACCCATTGAGGTGCTGTGACTCTGCTGGTGGCCACTCGCCTCCCTTTACTGGGTCCAGTGCGGAGCGGGCTGGGATGGGGTGAGAACCAAACAATGGCTAAGGTGGGGGGTGGGATGGGGTGGGGTGGGGGGCAGCAGCACCTGTATGTGGCGCAACGAGGGTGTTTCTGATGGAATTCATGCCGGGCTGCTCTCTACAAGCCCGACCCAGGGTGGGGGTCATAAGTCAGGGCCTCTTTGGTGCTGGGGGGCAATTTGTGACACTTTTGGTTATAATAACCCCGAGTACCCCCATAAATATGTCTCCCCGTGAAAATCAGCAGCCACCTGTAGGACTGTCACCAATTCCTCACCGACGTGTTAGTTACACATTGCGTTTGGACAGAAACACAGCCACCTCCCTGACCCCGAGCCGCGGATTCCGGCTTATGGGCATCCTCAGAGCAGGCAGGACACCCCCGCTCCAGCTGGACTGGCATCCCGGTGAGATCTAACCAGCACGGGAGTTATTTACGGCCTGGGGAGTGCAGAGCCACAGTGCTGAGGATGAACACAGGCCTGCTCTCCCGTTATTCTGAAATTAAATCCAAAACTCAATTACGACTTCTGATATGCTTTCCAGTTCAAACGAAGTTCACGTGTCTCGATGATACGCCTCAACGCAGAGCCGTTCCAGGCTGCGTGACAGGATTAGACAGCATCTAAAATGATTGGTAATTAATAAATACACCATCCCAGTCTGTAAACAGCCTTTCTGGTGGGTGCCGTTTTAAACTGTGCTGTTATTAAGCTAAGAACTTGAAGGGTTAAACTGAATATCTATCCCACTCAGTGGTACAACAGCAGCCCCCATTCCGAGGTGAAGCTGTCGCCCCCTATTGGAGGGAGAGAGCAACTGGCCGTCATGGACACTGGCGTGAATAGAACAACGAGCAGGCCAGGAGACAGAAGATTCAGGGCCAATTCTGCGAGGGGGGGGGGTGCGGGGTGTGAACAGGCTAAATCTGCCAGGAGGGGGGGAAAACAAAAACGTTCAAATGCCAAACAGATGTGGCGGGGAACTCCGAGGGAATTGCTCGCCAGACGTGTTTTTCTTATGCAGGCGTATTGTGAACAAATATGAATCGAGAGCGTGTGATATCTCTGAACACACTGCTAGGCATGATCCAGAACACATGGCTCTTAAACAACCCCCCCCCCAACACCCCCAGCCCAGCTGAAGTAATTCTATTGTTCTGTTCTGCGTTTCCGTCCTCATCAAACTGCTTGGAGTCGCATGCGAGTCGCTTTGACAAATGGCTTTTAAACGAGTCTTTGGGCTACAGACACAGTCTGTAGTTTGTTAGTTAAGCTGGGGTCTCTTGGAGTGTACAGGCTGTAGGCTAGGGGGTGGGGGGGTCATGTTTAACCTGTGTCTTTTCATCCACTCTGTCCTTTCACACTACCCTTACCAGCACAAGACACGCAGGAATTGCAGGAAAGCAGCACTCACGGAGTGACGGGGGGGAGTGAATGCAAAGGGGGGAAGGGGGGGAGTGGGGGGGGGGTGGTGTTTTACAGCATGGTCTTCAGGGGACAAATTATCGCTAGTGTTTGAAATCTCTAGAACCATCCCTCCCCGGCCCACGGTAACGTGCAACCACATTACCTCCTGAGCTAAACCTGCCCAGTCTGCCGTTTCATAACCAAGACCGCCACTTAAGACCGGCGTGGCATCGATCTCGACCCCGGCGACGACACAGTGAGGCCCGCTAACGAGGTGAATCTACAATCCATCCCGCAGCGGGGGCTTATAAAAAGACCACGGTGGCAAACACACCCCCAGCCACAAAAACCCCGCTGGGGAAGGTCATTCACTGAAGTACAGACAGCCATTGCAGTGAACTTCAAACTAATGTTTATTGGGTACCTCGATAGCTAATGGCCGCCACTGGCTGCTGGGACGGCAGGCCTATTACGAAAGTTACAAGGAGCCGGAGGTGACACACGGCGTACGGGAGGCGTGCGGATGACTCTCCGCGTCAGTAATTCCATCCATTCACGCACGACTGGGCTGCTTTTATTGGCATGGCCAAAGTGACCCCTTAGGAGGTGGAATTTCCCGCCAAACCTCTTGAGATCAAGGATGCAGCTTCGGCATGTTGCTGAGGCACCTAGGAGCAGGTTCTATATAAACATGCTTTTGCTAACATTTAAAGGGATTTAAATGCTGATTAATCTATGATTTAGATAAAAACAGGTACAGGGCTGATATAGAAGTGGATTCCAGGTGTAGGGTTATGTTTCCTGCACAGATGTATGGTAAGTGTATAGAGGTCATTACCCACGTAGAAGTGCAATAACCACACAGAGGCGCGTTAACCACAGAGAGGCGCGTTAACCACACAGAGGCGCGTTAACCACACAGAGGCGCGTTAACCACACAGAGGCGCGTTAACCACACAG